TTGGTACATTACATATGATCTATGAAAAATTACGGGCGGTCGGATACTTATGACGGCTACTGTATTAGCTAATATACATAACCCTCCTGAGATTTCATTTAACACATGCACGTGAAATTATATTAACACCTAATATTTGATCATCTCCCCTCCCCTTTAGAATATTAGTTAATATTTGTCACTCTCTATTGTTATTGTGGCTTGAAATCGGTCAGAGTTAAAAGAAATTTTTTGTTTAAAATGTTTTGTTAATTAGTTAATTATAAGAAAAGCCAATAAATTGTTTCTAAAGCTTAGAATTTTAAAATTTTTAAAAATTTAAAACCTAGCCCCGGACCAGGTCCTAAATTTTAAAATTCTAAGCTTTAGAAACAATTAATTAACAAAAAAATAACTTACAAAGAAAAAATTATCTTTTATATTAGTAATTTTCTTAGAACTTTTACCAACTCTACTACTTATTAACTCTATTTTTTAGCTGTAATATACAGTAGCAATTGAAAGAATGCAACAACATCAAAATTTATTAATAGAACATATAAAAATGCAGGTTATCTCTATATAAAGTTTTCATTTTACTTTTAATTATGAATTTATTGCAAAACTTTAATGAATTAATTAACAAAAGTTTACAATTAGAGAATTGAGTCCAAAAATATATATGTTAAAAATATAAAGTCTGATCTTTCTTTTGATATAAAATAAAAAATATTTATTAGTAAAATTGAAAACTTTAGAGAAAACCCGTATTTTTATATATTTTATTAATAAATTCTGATGCTGCTGCACTTGTTCCAAAAGTATTCATTTAAAACATAATACTATTACAATATATTTAAATAATTATCAAGTTCAGTTTTGTAACAATTCAACATATAATTTTTAATATAAATATTAGATCAAAGTACAATTAGCAAAATGAACTAGTAATCATTTTTGATTTAAATTAGAAGCTTTATAAGGATATTTTTTATATTCCATAATTTGTGGCTTTGGATGAATCTTATCAAATGTAATATATATGTTGTGCCCCAAATCGCAATTGTCCCAAATCACAATCGGCCCAAATTAGAATAGGAATATGACCAGAGTTAGGGTAAGGGTTAGGGTTAGTGCTGAAGGATAGGCTATATTTGGTTTAGGTTTTGATTTGGGATATATCCCAATTGTCAATTGGGGCAAATTGTGATTTGGGGCACAAAATATATATAAAATTTGTGATACAATTGGATATCAACCAATCATATTTAAGCACCCGCTATGTTGATCAACATTCGGTAATTACCGAACCGATCGATCGATAACCGAATCGTTCGGAGAGAAAGATCGAAAGCCTGAATATTAATTTCTGAATTCGTAAGAAATAATCGTAGACTTTCATCTTGAAGAAGACTCGATTATTTTTTAAAAAAATACATTATCAATTCTTTCACTTGTATTTTAAGAAAGATTGTCCCGAGAAAATTCGTTTCAATTATATCGAGATTTTTGTACATGTAATTTTTCCTATCACTATGCATTAACCAATGAAAAAACATTTGTTTTCATTAGTAAATTAGTAAATTCATTACGAAAATTCGCCGAGTAATAATTTATTTAATTAGGATAGGGATTTACCTATATATGGGTGATTCTTGACTAAACTATGAAGTTGATAACCAATGATGGGTTTTTTCATACATAAATTCTTACTAAATTTAGGTTATTACGTAATCTCTTTAGAGTGTGTATCACCTAGTTTGATTTAAAAATATGCACAATACGAACCAAGCAGCAGATGACGTAATAGCATTTTTTTTGAAAAGTTCGTTTCATATCGTAGTAGTTATTCGCTACGTAACATTGTTTTGTGATCATGGCTCAGGTGAACTTGTTACACGAAAAAAATTAACACATTAATATCGATGTGTCGCAAAACTGTGATTAACGCGAAAACATTAACATCGTTATTTTCGCAATTTTAGTTGGTTTTTGCGTTAGTAAAAATAATTTAATATTGGTCTTTTTTTAGAGTAATTACTTTTTGTGTCTTTCTTTGTCCATAAATTAATGACAAATCAAGAAAAGAAACCAGATAGTTATACTCTTTTACAAGAGCCGGAAAAGCATGTAGAAATCGCTATTGATGAGCAGGTAAATTACACATAAAAAATATTATTGCAAATGGCAAATTATTTTTATTAAATTTAATATTTAAAGGACGACGATAAAAGCTCCAATGGAAGCTCCAAAGGATCGAATATTTTTAAAGATTTTGCTAATAAACATCTCAGATGTAGAAAAGAGAAATCTTCGGATGCGGAGTTTTATATAGAGAAATATGGCATAAAGCGAATATGTTTAGTTAAACCAGATCGCGAAGTATATTTACTACTTGATGGCAATGATGTTACTGCATTTCTCGAAATGCAAGGGTGGATAAATAATAATCCACATAAATCTCTCGAGCAAACGATTACTGAATTCGGTATTTGATTTTTTAACTATTCGTATATTAATGCAGTTAAGGATAAAAACACTAAAATATAAAATTTTCAGAACAAATCGACAAAGCTGACGCGTTCGCCAAAATATTATATGATCACCCATTGCCCGATTTCATTCTAAAATTTCCAAACGAAGAAGACGTAAAGAATATAGTATCTAATACAGAACGTCGCTTCAAATTTGAATGGCTGCTCTTGAAAGCTGGACTTGTCGTCGAGCGCGAAGAAGATATATCTTCTGACAACACGTATATTAAAATTTGGGCACCGTTTCATCGCTTATGCAAGGAGGCACATCATATGAGAATAAAGCTTCCATTAAATGTAAGTCTCAATCCAAAATGTCTTAAAGGAATTCTTTTAAAGTAATGACATTTTTATTTTGTTTTAGGTTAACAAAGTAACGAGTGATTTCGAATTGGTGGAAGAGAGACTGTCAAGTATAAGAAGTCGCTTCTCTCGAAAGATTGACACGAAAAAAGAATCAGCATTCTTCAAAAAAGATAAACTGAGACAATTTAAAGGTGCCGAGCTTGACAAAGATTTTGGCGAAATTGCTTTGAATTTTTGGAATGGAGCAAAACGTAATTATTTGGTTAGTATATAGATTTCGAAATTGATTCCAATTCAAATATAATAGATCTAAAATTTATTCACTAGTAATATTGATTCCAGACACATCATATCATAATTACTGCTAATCAAATAAAAACGGAAAATTTAACGCGAAATGAAAGCTCGACTTTTACCAAACGGCGTATCAGATCTTTAGATATAAAAGCATTACTAAAAGACCACGTATACACGACATTTTTCACACTACACGATGGCCCTGTTGAATCGCTGTCAACTGGTGAGCAGGAGAATCTTCGGAGTAAGCTTTATAGAACGTGGGTTAAACGTTATGGAAAACAACCTTTGGAGGAAATTAGAGAGTATTTTGGCGAAAGGTTGGGATTATATTTTGCTTGGCTAGGTAAATTATTTTAGCAAAGTTATAATGTTTTCAAATTATTTTACTTTATTTTATAAAAACTCAATTCTATTTCGTTCATAGGTTTTTATACAACTTGGTTGACAATTCCTGGGATATTAGGCTTTATTACTGTTATTTTCGGCTTAATCAGACTAATAATAGTGTAATTATAATTTATCAAGATATTGGTCTTAAAAGTTTATATTGTACTTAATGGACTTCTTTTGTTTATTAATTAGGAAGCATGGCTTTTACGGTGGCGTCCAAGGAATTTCAACGATATGGGACAATGAACTTACTTTCCCTTATGCCCTGGCGATATCTATTTGGGGTATGCGCAAAATTAATGTTTTTAACTTTATCTATAACGATTATTTATCATTATTGCCGATATAGCCACTTGCTTTCTCGAGTCTTGGAAACGATTTAATGCGGCTCTTGTTTATGATTGGGACACTTCTGATTTTGAGCGAGAGGTATTAAATTTCTAGTTGAATTCCTGTTTCTATTTTATTAACAATTTAATAACTAGAAAAATTACTTTTAACATTAAAGGAACGACCAAGACCTGAATTTAAAGGGACAGGTAAAAAAATAATCATTTTTATTATAAATCTACTATCCCAACTAAATTTCTTTTGTAGTTTTCCAAAAATCCCCAATTACATCAAAACAGGAACTTACATTTCCATTCAAAGAACAAATCAAAAAACTGATCGTATCTTCAACCATCATTATCGCTTCGGTAAACGTTATTTTTTATGAGATTACTAGCGATATCACTATTACCGTTTTTTAACGTTATCGTTATTGTTATGTATTCGTAGATTTGCATTGTCACTATTACGATCGGCGTTTTGTTGACTTTTTCAAGGGCTTGGATAAACATTGGACTTTTGAGCAATGTGATTGCAAGTTTCGTGAATTTGGCGACTGTCTTGATTCTAAACTTGGTGAGTTGAATGTTTTATTTTTTTTTAAAATTTAAAATAATTGCGAAACTTTTTTTTTTGTTTTTAGGTTTACGAAAGACTTGCTGTGTGGCTCACTGATTATGAAAATCATAGAACTTCGACGCTCTATGAAGGTATTTCATATCGCTGAAATATTTTACATGTTTAATGAATGCATTGTACTCAATTATTTGATTTTATTTTCTCAAGATTCCTTAACTCTGAAAATATATCTATTCGACTTTGTCAATTTTTATTCGGCACTGTTTTATATTTTATTGTTCAAAAGAAAGGTTATAATTCTTTGCATATTTTATTTCATTTCATTTGAGTATCATAAAATTCTTTGTTGAAATCTAATAAATTAATCTATGCTTTAGTTTGTGCGCGCTGTCGTCAATGAATTTCACGATGAGGAAGACGGGTGTCAATATCAAAGTTGCATGGCTGAATTGACAATTCAATTGGCCATTATTCTAATTGGTAAACAAACCGTTGGTCAAATACAAGAGATTTTTATTCCGTAGGTTATTTTATATCTACTATGTTTTTTGTTGAATGAGTAATCATTAAAATATATTTTTTGTAATTCGTAAAGGTTGCTAAGGGGCAAAATAAATAGAGCTGGATTAAAGAAAGAGTTAGTGATGTTAGCAAAAGCTTACGAAACCACTACAAGAAAATTAAAAACGGTACCACAATGGATCTGGGATAATAAATTGGCGCCTGTTGATAATAATATACGGTCGGAATATCAAGAATTAGGCAAGTTCAAACACTTATTTGCTTTCGAATTCATACAAACAATTAATCTCATTTTTTTTACAGTCGTGCAATATGGCTTTATTTCACTATTTGCGACTGCGTTTCCTTTAGCCCCGTTTTTCGCCTGGCTTAATAATGTATCAGAAATTCGCAGTGATGCGTTCAAGGTTAAAAATTGATTGAAGAAATTTTAACCTCTGCTTTTCTAGTGAATAAGAAGTTTTCACCAAATATCCTCTCTTTTATAGTACATTAAAGCGTTACGAAGACCAGTCGGCTTTCAAGCACAAGACCTCGGAATGTGGGAACAAATTTTGCATGTCGTATCGTTGCTGGCAGTAATCACGAACGCAACGATCATCGCATTTCATTCAAGTTATATGCGTGAGGTTTTTAAGCGTTATGTTGGTGAAACTCCAGATCAGCTGTTGATTGCTCGATTGTCTTTCATTTTGATTTTCGAGGCAAGTTTTAGTTATTTGAATTTTTTTTTAGTTTTGAATTAATGTTAATTTTTAATATTGTTTCAAATATAGCATTTCGTATTCTTCATTAAAGCATTATTTGCCTATGCGATTCCTGATGTCCCGAAATCGGTGCGTATTGCGATCGAGCGAGAACGATATTTGACTCGTATCGTGCTCGAAGGCGAAGAATCGGATGCTGATGAGTGTGATGATGAAAAAGAAGATAATAACAATAAAGTAACGAATGACGAACAAAACCAAGGGTTGAAAGAAAAAGAAGTGTAATGTATTTTTCCTATACAGTAACTTAAAAGAAAGAGTATATACTATTCATTTTTTTAAAAACGAGAAAACATTTGTCTTTTATTATACATAATCATGTTTTTATAAGATTCTATTCAAACACTTAATTATTTTTTGTGACTTATTTATCGTTATCATCCATTTTCGATATGAAAAACTTTATCTCTTCTGGAATTAAATAAAGAAATAGATTAGCATTTCATCTAGAAACAAGTCTCTGTATAATCTGAAGTGAAGTTTACTGTATTATTGTATATAATCGAAATAAGACTGTTGAATTTCCATTTTTCTGTAAATTCGATTTTTTAATTTTAAATATCGAATTGGACCATTTCATTTCAATTCAAAAATATGAATCTAAAAAACGCTCACTGGCCTTTGTTTCCCTCGATCATTATTCTCATATGTAAGCAGCTTAAAATTTAGATCGTGCGTGTAGCTTAACGTATTTTCATTGAGAATCGGTATTCTCGTGCGAATATACTTATAATTAATTATAAATCTTGTTGAAATAGCCAGATTAATTTCGGATACTCTGGCTGCTCCATGGCTTGGATAACTTTACGATGCCATTTTATTGCTTCGTGAATATCTCTAAAGGTTCCCAACCCATATTGCTGACGATCAGCAACCAAAGACTGAGCCATAGTATTTCCAGCGGTAGCAGCGCGACATAGCCAATAATACCCTTTTCGTAAATCTTGTTTCACGCCATACCCATTCGAATAACATTGTCCAAGTTCAGTCTGGCCGCCGCGATGACCAACTTTTGCCGCTTCTTGGAACCAGAAAAATGCTTGACAGTCGTCTTGACATGTCCCAATTCCAAGCCGAAAACAGAGACCAATGTTGTGTTGGCCGAATGCATTTCCAGCTAGCGCTGATTTATGATACCAATAGAACGCTTTCGACATATCCATGTCAACTCCATCAGCGTAATCGTAACAGCTTCCCAACTCATTTTGACCAAGCGAGTCGCCAATTTCCGCGGAAACTTTATACCAATGAAATGCTTTTTCTTGGTCTGACGCTATCCCTATTCCCCAACGATACAAAAATCCTAATAGACATGCGTATTTCTTATTTGTGCTTTGATTTTTTATACACTTGAATAAGTTGATGTGTGTAATGTTTTTTAATTTCGACCAATTTTTTACATTTTGAACAATTACGTCGTCATTTTCCCAATTTTCATTACTATTTTTGAAAATAATAAAGATCTCTTGAGCCATTTTTTCGTCGTAGTCGTCTATTTCCTCAATTGAATTTAGTTTATTGCGAAATGAATCGAGAGTTTCCATTGCAGTATTTTTATTTTAGGAGATTGAATGTATCTCTTAAACATGGGTATAAAAGGTGTGGTAATAGAATGGTATGTCGCTGCTGAAAATTTTTCCTCAAATCAGAAATTATTTTTTACCTGTTTGTATGAACTACTACTATATCGATATTGCTTCTACAACAGCAAAGGTGCATTGCATGAATTATTGATTTGCAGATTTCCCTCTAGAAAATCAAACGTGACCGATGTCTGTCTTACGAGATCGACGTAAATACAGGTTTTACGGTCTGATCTCTAATGAATTTTCGATTTTTTCTACATATCGATATTATTTATTTAAAATATAGATATTCTATTAAAAAATTAGAATTTACACACTAAGCATAAAAAACCCTTCTAAATTAATCATGTAAAGAGCAAATTTTACTTTTCATCATCTTTGTCGCAGTCTTCTTCAGGGAAAAGGAAATTCTTTACGGAAACACAATTTTTGAAAATTCTAGCGCGATTTTTCATATCGGGCGACTTTGCACAGGCAAGATAAAACCTATAATCGAGAAACGGAACATGACTCTCATCAGCCGAATTCTCGCTGGATTTTTGTCGCGGCGGCAAGCATTTTTCGGGAATATTAAAAGTTTCCATCGTCGCTTTTTGCCATACGTATCCCATATTCCCAGCAATAATATTGTAAATTACTTTGTTTGTCGAAATGAAAGCGCGTAAATCACGTGCATCGAACGTTTCACCCGTCCAGACAAGGATTTCGGCTAACAATCCAAGAACCTCGTTGGGAATTCTTTCAAATTCGCCTAAATTTCTAGAGAAAAATGATCCTGTCAGTTGTGACAAGACGAGACTACTTTCGTTTAATTCTTTGTGGTCAGGGATATAGATGGGATTACTTATTTTCCATGCTTCAGATTCATTGCATTCAAATTTCCCGTCTGTCTTGAAATGGTAGTTCATCGTTTCGTGATTGAGCACATTGAAACGATAATTATTGTCGATAATTTCACGAGCGAGTCGGCGAAAAACTTCAACATAGTTGACTCTATATTTTCCTTCTCTTTCGTCTTTGATTGGTTTATCATCTTCAGGGAAATTTGCCCTACACCAAGCAGACAAGTATTGATCCAACATTATAAAACAATTTTGATGCACTAAAAGTCCAAAGCCATCAGCGTAGTCGCTCAAAGGATTGTTGAATACACATTCAGCCCAAGATTCAAAATCGACAATTACTGAATGGGTTAGGACACGTGGTACTGGTTCATCGAAATTAAGGACCTCTGTTGTGAATGTGTTGCTATAGGGAGGGATTCCGTCGAATTCACAACTGCTGAGACCGCGATAAGTCCATTTAGCTGGACAAAGGACGCGAATTGATTTAAGATGATCTTTGTGAGCTTCAGAATACTCAGACGAGACATCAAGCTCATGATCACAATCAACATCAAAGCTTACATGCTCTAATAACATAGAAGCTTTTTCGTATTCGTCTAATTGGTCATAAAGGGATACTTGTTCGTTTCTTCGTTCAGAATCGGAAGATTCGGATTCGGATTCGGATTCAGTCTCCTTATTTGGTTGTTGATTATTTGAAAAAATTTCATTATCCTTCGTGAAACTTTCTTTTTTTGTATCAGCAGCTGCTACTTTTGTTATAACGTTAATGTGAAGGCACGTTGATGCCGGTCCACCACAAACAAAACACATACAAACCATTATCTTCGTGTAAATATTTATTAATACAAGTTTTTATTAGATTGAATACGTAGTAAGAAGTTTAAAACGACATCTTTAACCAATTTAGGAAACTATTTACCGTTACGTATTATAACCACATCACGTGTAAGAACATCAATACCGCGCAGCAATCGCAATTGTCTATTGGTTAATCGTGAATGATGGGAAAATACATGTAACTTGCCTATGCAGCGTCTTAAGGTACGTACTAAAAGTGGCGCAGAAGAATGGTTAAGACAGGCCGACTGAAAAAAACGAACCAACTTGATGCAGCGGCACAATCCTTGAAGCGAGATCTTTTACAAATATAATTGTTCGGATGCATTTATTACTTTTTGAAATCTTCGGAGCTGCAAATGATAAGAATTTAAAGAACAAAAATCTTACCGATGTTTCTCATTCGCTTTATGGAGCAAATTTTACAAGTTCATAAGGCGCGGTGATTACGATTTTAAATATGATTGATAACCCAGACGATATACAGACAAACCTCCCTAAATGCAAACCCCCGGGACCATAGTAAAGCGTGCATTTAGAGAGAGTGTACATTTGTATATAGAGCTTTTATGAGCTCGGACCCAGCCATACTGTGCATTTAGAGAAGGTGTGCACTTAGAGGGTGCATTTAGGGAGGTTTGTCTGTATCGATTGAATTGAAAATCTTAGTTTGGCAATTTAATGCCGTTATAAGAACAAAAACCTCTTTATAAGTTATTAGTAAACTTATAGAAAAATGCCTCTATATAAGAACATTTTCTGAGAAAATTACTATGGTCCCGATCATATTTTTATAACGAGGGACGACTTTATTTATTTAAGAATGCAATCCGACCTATCTTTACTCGTCATCATCAAAAACATCACGAGTAATCAAATTTCTTTAAAACGATGCTGTTATCCCGGACTTGAGTGCTTGGGATATGAACAACAAGTATGGATTGCTACTGCAAGTTGGTTCAAATAATGTGACACATCAGCTATAAAGCAACGCTTGGGATATGAACAACAGGTATGGATTGCTACTGCAAGTTGGTTCAAATAATGTGACACATCAGCTATAAAGCAACTTATTGAAACAAGTAGCCACCATCTTCAATGACTTTTCATTTGAGATTCGCAAATCAAGGTATCATCGACTCTTCATACCGCAAGTGCTGGAAAATATTCGAACAATTAATTTCACAGGATTTGCTATTAGCATGTAAGAGTTAAAAGTTAAATATTATACACATTTTAACGAAGGTTGTTTTTATGATAAAGAACTATTCTATCGTAATTGACCGATTAAACGAAGGTCACTAACGAAGTGGTTTATCTGGAACTGGTGATTTTTACCATGTATAAAAAGATAATTGAGATTACCCGCCTATCGAGGCAATCATTGTCTTTTTCGCCAAACCACACATCATCATGAAATAATACTTAGTTATCATTGAAAGACGGGATAGATAACCTTAATAATAAAGAAATACTTTTGTTGGCATGATTTGAACAAACGGATTAGACATTGCAGAGATTGATTGTAAAATTAGCATAATTCGATGAGTTATAATTTGACATTTGCTGGTTAGAAATTAAATTTCTCATTAACCTGTCCTATTAAGACTAATGCAAATTTGATGCTCTGTCGGATAAATAGAAAAGTAGCGAATCGTCACTCCGAATCCATTTAACATTGCCGCAACTAAAGCTATTAATAAACTGTGATGTTAATGTTCAAACGGTCAAATTAAATTAAACAAAACCAAATCTTCACTTATACAAAACTTATCTAGAATTGCATTTGAAAATGGCGGCTCCACCAGATAAACTAGCATATATTCGATCGGCAGCATGGGCAATTGGTGCAAAACTAAAACAACAGAACGCTATCACTGCTAGTCCGTACCATCGATCAGGATATAGTCGATATATTAGTTCAGTGAAGTTGGTGATGGAAACAGAAGCTGTTCATAGTGGCGAATCAATTTGGTCTTTGCAGTTGCCATTTTGATATTTTATTCTTTACTTTTACTTGCTGAACATTAGATTCCACCTCAAATCTCGAGTATCAATGTTAGCTCGAATCCATTAAAAGTGATGCCTTTTAGATTGTTCATTTAATTGAGAATAAGTTGTTAGTTTAGTAATCATTACGAAATATCGTTTGAATACTAAAGACTTCAAGAATATAGTAGATAAATTACCAATAGTTTATAAACAACGAGGGAAATTACTTCCATCGCAATCTTGATTATTTTCTTTGATCAGCCTCTAGCTGTGCATTTCGTGTGTATCGTGTATTGAGAAAAATTTAGATTCATTTGACGTATTACGATGATATTTATACAGTACCGGTACATGTATAACACCATGTTTTTCAAGATGCATACAGGTTGCAAACTTTTTCCGCCAATCTGATAGAATTTTATTCAAATACGTAAATTTAGTTAAATAAGAAGTTAATTTAATATCGATATGCAAAAATTTGACTCTACGCATGTACGTATGACTCAATTGTATCATACATGTAGTATAATACGTAGTAACCTCGATAAATCAGATGCTATTAATTAAACGTAATTTTTTTTACTAATACTTGTAGTTCCAACCATTTCGGTTTATTGAGTTTACCTTATAGTATCGGTTGTGTCTATAACGATAAATAGCTAATTTATATAAGTATTTTGAGAGAAAATTTTTCATCGAAAGAATTTTACTTGTTCAATTCAGAAGTTCAGAAAACATCGTTTCTGTTCAAAATCATGACGATTTAGCCACGAATTCGGCGATAAAGACTTATGAGTTAAATCTTGTTATTGACCATTATATTTAAAATATTTCTCGCAAAGAATGACTAATGACATAAAAATGGACCTTAGTTCCGTGTCAACGTTTAAATTTGACAATACGAGTATTGTGTCTAATAATAAATTGGTTTTCTAGAATGTACTAGTAAGACTTTCTATTTATGATTTGGATGAAATTGTTATCCATCAAATTGAGATAACTCATGTTACGAAAACACATTGTCTTTAAAAAATTATATATTCACTATCCTGCTCAAAGAATAGCAAAAAAGAAAAGCAGTGTACAAAAAAGTGTTTTCAAGACACTAATTCTGAAAAAGCTAACCAATTCCAGTTACTAGATGGTCGTGTAATATAACACTCTGATAAGAACAAATTACGTAATTATGTTTATAAGAATAAATTTTTCCCATTCTGATTTCTTATCGTTATATTGCATCTGTAATCGTATACGTAGAATAGGACTATGTACATGTAATTTATAGTTTAAAGTTTCAGTTCAGCATTCTTTTTTCCATACTTGGAAATAGGTGCCTTGGAAATAAATTACTAGGTTTACGTTAATACGTATCCAATTGATTTCGCTTCATACTAGCGATAGCACATTTTTTATCTTAGCATGAAATTAAATATGCAATTATGCATCTCAATGTTTTTCTTTTCGGAAAATCGCTGTGCGAGTTCAATGAAAAAGATGTACATGTACTTAACGTTAATAATTTTAAGCTTCAAGAGTTACGTAGTTTCTTTACAATAAAATATTAATGATCAGGATAAATTTTCCATTAATTATACGAATATTGTATTGTGATGCCATTTTTAATATTTTCAAACATACGTAATTTTATTCATTCAACATGATCTCGACACAAGAAAGACGTAAATACATGTATATTATCGGATGCCGTATTTGATTGTACTGATACGTACAATTTCACATCAACAAACATGTACTGTAATATATCAAATGGTTGTACATTTTTTGATTAAATGCAGACCAGAATTAACCGTATTTGTTCAAGTGCAGTATGTACATTATGCATGACATTTAATATCGAGAACAAATATCGATTTGTCCTATTAAAATTACAAAGACAACATGTAATGCGAATTATCGGTCACAGAATATTAGGAGAATAAACCAATCAAAAAATAAATTTAGTTATTGAAAAAACCACGCGTGACAGTGTGAGTCGCAAGGGTTGGATGGATATTTGCTATACTTTTTTGTCTCGATCTATAATTTCATGCATAGTTGAATAAAATCATTTGAAATTGGATTTGTGTCTTGACGTTCATTGTTAAACCAGGTACATATATTTTGCTATTTAATATGGATTTTTCATCTTCGATCAATAATCTCTCTTTTCATCCTCCTTTTACACTCTCATCCATTCCTCTCTATTCTCTCCCCCACTCTCCGTAAAATTCACCTCTTAATTCAAAATGTTTGCGAAAACTTTTATATTCTCATCAATGCTTTTGGCTGCAGCCACAACTTTAACTTCAGCCTCTTATTCCATCAGTTATCCTGGATCTGGCGTTGTTTGGAAAAAGGGTGACAAGGTTCAAGTCAAGTGGTCTGCAAGTGGTCAAGTCGAAAAACTAATCGATATTCGTCTCGTTCATGGAAATGCTGAGAATTTATTGTTCAACTTCAATTTATGTACCAACGTGAATCCTTGGGATGGCCAATGTGATTATGTCGTTGGCTCCGATATTCCTTCGGGAATTGATTATGCAGTGACTGCTGGAAAGGAACCACAAAATTACGGATATTCGAGTTATTGTAAGGATTTCTCGGTCATCGAATAGAATCGTAAAAAATCTACCAGGTAGTAATTTGTTTTTCGCTTTTTAATATTATAGTTACAATTCAAGCTAATGGCCCGCTTCCCGAAAATAAAGGCTGCCCAAATATGGTAAATTTTGGAACTTATTTTTTTTTGCTAATTTGGCAGTGATGTGGTCTTGTGGACTGTCTATGGATTTGTTTATAATCCACTTCCAGCACTGAATTCTGGCTCCGTATTTTAATTTATCTATTTTAGGGTGGTAAACTTTGCCCTAAAACTTTGCCTTGCTGCAGTTCCTCTGGATTTTGCGGAGATTCGGTAGCTCATTGTGGCACAGGATGTGTCCCTAAATTCAGTTTCAATGGTCAGTGTGTAATCCCCGGCTCTCAGTCAACAGTAATTACACCGGTAGCAAAAGTCGGAACAAAGACATCTCCCGTCGTAATCACTTCAAGTAAATCTAAAAAATGTGGCACCAAAGTTTGCACAAAATCTCTTCCTTGCTGCAGTGCTTCTAAGAAATGTGGTATGTATATATATTCTTGTTCTCGGAACCAAAATGCTGAACAAGAATAATTCATTTCCTGTTAACATATTTTAGGTAAATCCTGTGGCAAAGGATGCAAACCAGAATTAAGTTTTGCTGGAAAATGCGCTCGTTCATAATGGTCGCCGATTGCACGTCCACAAACTAGTTCGCACAATCAGACAGAATAAATAGTTTAATAATACTCTAGAATAGATTAGATATAACATTTATTAGAAGCAGTCAAACGTTTTCAAAATGATTGATATGCTAAATTTTCAATAATAAAATAAAAAAATATGAAAATTACAAAATTATTTCTAAGGTCAAAAGTAATTTTATAGTGAGTAAATAAAAGAAATAAAATATACTAAATCTAAACGAAATAAAATCTGTGTAGTGGCTTTAAAGTGGAATATGATATTTTTTGCACATATCGACAGCTTTTGGTTGACCTGTTAATGCTGCCTGCCTGAGATAATATGCACCTTTTTCGTGGTTTTGAATTACGCCATATCCATTGAAATACATGTTTCCAACGTTATACATAGCGGTTGAATGTCCATTATTTGCAGACCTCTCAAAATATTCCACAGCCTATGATCCATTTTTTTTCGACACCTTCGCCTTTCCATAGACAATGACCATAACGAAGTTGAGCCTCAGGCAAATCCATATCAGCTGTTTCTTTAAATAATTGTGCAGCTCGTTTTCTTGCATTTTCGCGTTGTTCAGCAGTTTCTTGAATATTTAAGCAAGTAATATCCAACCCAATATTTGGCATTGGAATCTCCCAACTCCGCATAATCGCAAAATATTTTATATGCTGTTTTACGATCACCACCCTTAGATTTATGAATATTGATGATCAGAAAAGGGGGAGCATGGATTTGACGGAAGATGAGTATTAGGGTGCTGAGTAGCTGGCAGATGTTGAAGATGTTTTTCAGAAAAATCAAATAGTTCCATGAATATAGTCGCGAGAGCTGGGCGATTCGTAGAGTCAAAGCTTGTAGCTAATCAATCAATAATTAAAAAAATAAATATCATTAATAATATATTAGTAACATGATATTAATAATTTCAAAATTACCTTTATTAACAATATATGCCCATTCAAATGGAACTTGCAATGGTAAAGAAAATTGTTCTCGTTTATTTTCAAGAACCCTCTGACGAATTTCTACAATATCATTTTCAATACTTTGAAATGGGATCCTTTGTTCAGCTATTTCCCAAAGAAGCTAGTAATTAAAACAATGAGAAAATGTTTATTTGAATATTATTGATAGTCATTTATGTAATATATTTCACACTTAAATCATATGGATACTTATTATCTTTAAGTTTCTCTGGCGCCGTGTATCGAACTTTATCGAAAACCTTCATGGGTACCAACATTTAAACCACGACTTACACCGAAATTGCTGATTACCTTTTATAATAAAAATATTTTCACTGCGAATATCGTGATGTAGAATTTCATCACTTTTTAAATAAGTTAATCCTCTGGAGATATCTAAAGCAAATTGTATTTGTAGACTCCAATAAAATCTCTTATATTGATAGAAATCTCTCAAACTTGATTCGGTAGCCCATTCGGTTACCAGAAAAAATTTATTCTGTTCAATTATAACTCCGTAAAACATCATTATATTTTTTGCTCCTTTTAAATTTTTAAAGATGGTGACTTCTTTTTTAATAATATCTTGAGTCGCTTTATTAACGTTAATTTCTTTGAATGCGACTTCGATATTATCGTATCTCATATATTTGAACACTGCGGAATTTTCTTACTCCGGTGTACTGAAAGTGTTGGATATTAAGCACTGCGTCGTCGAGTATTTCATCAAAAAGAACGATATTTTCTTTTCTCTGAAAGGTCTTGTTCAGAGTAGCGATAGTTCCTACTCCTTCTAAAAATCTTTTGTCCGTCTGCAATACCACCATCGATAACTCTGATATACTAATCAAGAATTTGCATAGATTAATTATTATAAGGACTTTATATTACATTTTTCATATCACGAATATCCAGATTTATAGCTTCTTCATCTTCGATGTTTTGATCTGTTTTCGGTCTTCCAAAATAGAGACGGCCTTTGGACGCACGAGTAAGTGCTTCTGTGGATCTTCAAATTCTCCAATAAGAATAAAAAATTTTCTATCCATCGAAAATTCGGGGCCTCGATATTCACTAAAGTATTTACTAACCCCTTGCAACTGCGAAACATCAATAACAAAATTTTGAATTTGTTCAATCACTTTAACGAATCCTTGAAAAACTAAATAATTATTACTATTTTCAAAAAACCAACTGTAATAATTTTTTAGTGACGTAAAATTTTCACTTCGCCTCCAGCGTTATTAACACGTTTAAGTAATACACTGCAAACTCTTATATTATATTCAGCATTTTCGTAACATTCTCCAACTTTGTCCACGTATTTTTGAACATCTTTTATCAATGGTAAAAACATTGCAAAGTCCGTTCGCTTAGATGACTCCGTATGATCGTCGCCATTTTCAGGGTTTATTATATATTCATCTGCAAGTTTATTATCGTTATTCATTATTATTTAGAAATTTATTAGAATATATTGTTAGCTAATCTAACTGCGATTTCGACTGTTACCAATACTGCTACAAACGTAGTTCACCAACACAATATGTAACACCACTATGAATGCGTGTGACGCAAACCAATAAGAATGTGATTTACCGTGGCACAGACCGATAAGGATGTGCAAATTTTTGATCGCAAAAAAATGAAAATTGCGAAAAATACAGAAAATATATGTTCAAATCTAATCTTGGGCACTAATAAGGAATGTTGGTGAGGCAATTTCACATATAATTTTGCTCTTTCTACACCCTAACCCTAATTCTATAATCAACTTTTGGGTAATTGTTATGGCTGTGCCACCAACCTGGTAGATTCAAGTGTGCCACACAGTTAAAGAAATTCCTTACGGAATATGTAGTGTTAAATATGTTTTCCTTTTCGGTACTCTAATCATAACGCCTTAAGGCCTGCGGACAAAGAGTTTATCGTTATCTACTTGAATAGGAAAAAACCGATAAACTAAATAAAAAATACTGAAAATTGGTGTGTTAACCATGCGAATCTAAAGAATTCAAAGCAAAATTTGTCGATTGAACAAGTAACAATACTGAAATCGATAACTTAATTAGATGCGAGAGTAAAATGTAACTATTTACTGTGGATATCATATGAAGAGTTTATAAACAAAATATACTGAAGATTTGGTACTGTGCAAGTATTAATAATGTAAATATCAAAATAATCACACTTATCACTAACCAATTCTTACATGTCTAATGGAAATCCAAACTAAAACCCACACTGAGATTTTGTAAGTGCTGTACATTCATAAATTTTCGATAACTTAGAATGATCTAAACACCTTTCAAAAACACTTCGAAATGAAGCGAACCTAGTCTTTGGTGATTTTCATCCCAGAAATATTAAAGTTGAATGATGATAATAGCTAGAGTTGGGATTCGAAAATTCGGATTCGGTTTTTATTCGTATTTCAAATGACTTTATAATTCAAATTGAAAGTATAATTCGAATTATGTTAGAAATTCAAATTACGTATTAGGTCAAATGATCGAATGTCGATCATTCGATTCGATTCCAACCCCTAGGTCGTGGAACTAAATACATGTATATATATAAATAGATAGTGATATATAGTAATAGTCAACAAAAATAAAATATAAATTTAATATTTTATTTTGGTTGACTATTTTTTATATAATATATCTACAAATTAATATTTCCACCACCATTAGCAAGAATAACAGCCTGAATTCGATTAGACATATTTTCAATTAATTTAGGTGGTAAATCATTCCACATAATGTTCAAGTTCTGACAAACTTTATGGAGGTGGAGTTCGTCGATGTACCATGGTTTTTATCTCAGCCCAGAGGTTTTCAATAGGACTTTGCGCTGGCCAAAACATAACTGAAATTATTGCATTTTCGCGAGCAGCTTTGAGTGATGTGACGCAGCATTGTCTTCTTGAAAGATGCCATTTTCACGAGAAATTTTTTAATTGTAGCGGTATACACTTTACTGTTTACGGAATTTCTTATTAATCCCAATCCATACCAAGTAAGCACCCTCCAAAACATTATGCTTGGACTGTGCCAGCAACACAATCTTCATCCAATTCTTCGCCTGGTTCACGTCATACCAATCTTTGTGATCCTTTTTGAGATTGAGCACGATAAGACTGACCTAATGGTGACCATAAATAATGCATCGCGTTTTTTTTTTTGAGAGATTGGTTAAGGAAAAAAACAAATTTTCAAAACCAACAATATTATGTGAAAAGTGTAGTGTCTTTTTTTTGGTAAGTAAAACAGACATTTACTTTAGAATACATCAAAGGAGTATTTTATTATTTGATACTATATATAATTATTCAAACTTTATAATATCATTAAATCAAAAATTATATCGTTGCAATTTTTCTCAATTGTATTTATTTAACTATGCCAAATTTTATTGGATGAGTTTCTACAAATGATTAATTTTTTTTCCATTTCTATTTAAAAATATCTCTTATTTAAAGTGACTTAATAATAACTGAATTAACAAATTTGTTTTGCTAATGATAGAATTTGTCAGTCTGTGACGAATAAATCAACAAGTTTTTAAAATATTTAATAAAAATAACGATTGCATTTGTCAAATAATATCAATATTATTTATGTTTTTTCTACTTAAAATTTGCTGTATTTTATGCTTTAGCCTCAAATCGCGTTTATTGATTTTAAACTCCTAAATTTTGCTTTAAACTCTAGTTTTTAAACTTTGCAGCAGTTGCTACCGTATTTACCGCACGAAATACCCCCCGGTACGCTGCATTTTATCCATTTATTTTGTATAAGGAGTTGAGTACGGTATAAGGGGTCGTTGATAAGAGAAAATAATAATAATAAAAATTATACACCGGGTACTACAGTAGCGGTCATAAGTATCCGAACGCTCCTAATTTTTTATAGATCATGTGTATCATCCTAAAAATTCCTGAAAACAAAGAATAACATAAATGCTGATCATCTACTCCTTTTAAAGTTGGTAGAACTTCTACATCGGGTGTTTTATGTTCATTAAAATTTTACATCACAAATTCCAAAACACATATCTCA